ACTATGGCTTTCTAGAATTGCGGAGGTCAATGCAGGATTTCAACTCTCAAACATTCCCAAAATTCTCTTGGCTCAAATCACTTCGACCAGGTAAATGCTCATGAAGAAGTGATGATCGTAGCATTCGTGTCCGAGATGAAGGGTGCCACAATTTCCCGAGATGATGCCGGTCGCGTATCAGGCTCCATGTCGATACCAAAGTCCAAGAAGTCCTTGCACATGCGGTCCATGTTCTGTGCGGACAATACTCGGCACGTTCGATCCACCCACCATGTCACTTCGAACGGAGAGCACATCTCGTTGTTGAAGGAGTCGCTGGTGGTGGATCCGATGTACACCATGGCGTCGTTGATTGGTTCGAACCACGTGGTGTTGTAGTTCCTATCCAGGAACCCTAACCAACACCGTTTTAGCTGTTCTTGGGTGTTTGTACCTGCGTTTGGAACAAACCCAAACAAACTGTGTTCAAGAAAGCCCTAGATTCGGGTACGGTTGGCTTGGATCGTTCACGATGCGAGCCACTTGACCCCGCACCACCACCGATGGGTTCAAGTCTCGAGCAAAGACACCACCCAAGCCACCTGACAAAATCCCGTCTTTGGGCCCTGCAGTTGAGAAGACCCAGTGAAATTCATAGGTGTACCCCACTACGACATCCTGGCACCACTGGAAGGTGTAAGGAGTCAAATCGCCACTTTCTGGAGGCTCATCCACTGGAGCGCAGAAGAAACCGGGGCGGATATCATTTGGGATGATCGCGCTGGGATCGGGAAGGGCTTCGTCCGCGGTCAGGGAGTACTCACCTCCATCAAAGTTGCAATGTTCGGCACCCAAGTGGAAGTGGGTGTTCACATGGATCAGGTTGGGGAACTCGTCGACAATGTCTGACAGTGATACAAACATGTGTAAAGTCAACACCACTTTGTGTAAATTCTCCCCAAAGGACATCAAAGAACATTTCCTGTTTCATCTAGCGACCAACTGGCTTCACGCGGGGAGGCTCCAACCCAACGAAAGATGCGGTCACATTGCGTGGTGATTGAGGTTCTGCATCAACACAAGGAAACATCGCCGGAGCTTCGGTGGTGGTGGTGGTGGGCGTCTTGGTGGTGGGCTTGGGATACGGACTATAGTAAGGGTGGTAAGGGTGGTAACCAGACTTCCCGCCGTCAAGGATCTTCTTCCACACCCACCACGGAATCCCGGCTTCGTCCCTCGTCTTCTTCTGCTTGCCTTAGCTAGCAGCGGCTCTCCAACAAGACTCTACAGATGCTAGAGGTGCTACAGATCTGCCACAGCCCAAAAAGTCCAATACCCATATATGAAGGAATATACCCTAAGTCGTACTAGCAT